ATTTTGTTTAATACTTAAGGTAAATTTATTTTTGAGTACTTAATAATTTTTCTATGACCCAGAATTCTGAAGATATACGTCAAAAAATTTTTATGAACTGGTAATATTTGTTGATTCCATTGTTATTTATTTGTAAAAAACAATGATAATTGCTTATTTTACAATTTTATTAAAATTAATTATTCTTTATACTAATTGTTTAATTCAAGAGTATAATATTCATGAAATAGTCATTTTTACAAAATTAAGAACATTAGAATTAGAAATACAAATTAAAATCATAAAAAAAACGTACACATATATACCATAAAGAGATGAATTATTTCACGGTTTAGTTTCGATTACTCGAAAAAATTGCTCTTGTTTTAACACATAACTAGCAATTATTTCTAAACATATCCTAAAATTATTTATTTGTTTTTGTGTGTATGCACAGGAGTGTGTTTGTCACGCGTGAGTAATTGGATGATACACCTGAGCTCAGTTTTAGTAGACAATTGTAGTTAAGAACCGAATTTAGGACTGTACATATTTTTTGTATGGGAGCATGGTCTAACAAGTTAATACAAATATCAATCTAACTTTTTATTTGTTTATATTGTTGATACTTTGTGTAGGCTCAGAAATACAATGTAAATAACTTGTAATTTTATTAGAATACAAATTCCTACAATGACATTTAGTAAAATTTACATCGTCCGCTCTTTAGTGTCCGAACACGTATTCGCTTTACATGTAATAATAAATGATTAAAATTATTACAATAAAATCTAATAAGTTCTAAACATTTGTTCTTATAGGTATATCTCTGTTATTCCGCATGGTACTATAATAATTATGATGTGAATATAATTTAATAATTACATAAATTATAATTCGTTATATTACACAATAAGTATGGAAAATTTGTTGATCTTTTTGTAAAATTGAAAAATCGTCCTCAAATTGTCATTATATTATTACACTTTATATTTTATAAGTGTAATAATTATATTTTTACTTAATTATAATACTTATAATCAATTGTCAATACAAATAATAGTATTATTATACACTTTTTTTTTTTTTAATTTATACATTTTTAAATTTGATATATTTATAGCTGTTGTTAAACTCACGGCCATAATTTAAATTACTAATTTATTATACTTACTTATAGGTCTATGAACTAATGCACCTAACATTAATATTAACCTAACTTTAGTTTTTACTATAAAATTATAAAGATATAATAATGATTTTCAAAACAGTTTTTATATTGGTAATTAAATACTAGTATAACGTAAATAATTATTCATAAATTAATATTTGGAAAAAATGTAAAATAATAACTTATAGAGTATCAAAATAATATAATATTTTCATGACGAAGACAAAACTAGATTCATCCATATTATGAAAATATCAAAAAGTTTTCCTCTTAATAAGATAAAACGACCTTTTTATAATACGGACACATTTCATAAAGAGAATATCTTCTTCACGAAAATACTGGTTTCTGATATGGGACATAGGTATGTGTATATATATTGTAAAAATGATTGCAATATTTTTAAAATTTATTCTAACCTAAAGTAAAGTTCAAATAATTAAAAAATAATATTCAAAATCTACGCCAGATTTATATTGCATAATCTGCGATGGATGAGAAAGTGTATTTCGTTAATGTGAAAACTCTCTCAATATACTCATCAAGGTCTATCCCTTTGCCTTTTCTCTCATTCGTATGAATAAAAATTACTCACAAGTTCTACGTTTCTGCAATTATAAATAAAGTAAATTTTCACAAATCAATAATAAATCACTTAACTTTTGATCCTTGATACATACATAATATAATAATATGCATAATTACGTACTATTTTTAACCAGTAGAGGTGTGCCATCCTATTAATAGACTAATTAAAATACGTAACACGCAATAGTATTTAAATATAGACAAACACGTGTTAAAAATATAAAAATTTCACTGAATTCTTTTGTGTATATTATATATACATAAATACTCATGTTCGCGTTTCGTAATATTACATTGAACGTTTAATTTTGAGATAATATTAGGATGGTTTTAAATTATAATTGTGCTTGTGATTAATTATCTTCTTACAACAATTTTCATGTAAACGAAAAACATGTGTATGCCCATGCCATACATGTATTGATAAACAACATTAAAACATTTATTCATTGTAGTAATATTATTACAATAATAATTACTTTTTATAACGCCTATATACGTCTCTATATAGTATATACTATATGTACTCTATATATTCGATACTGAAAAATGTTACGATTTGTAATTTTTTGGCGAGGAGAATATAAAATCTACCTAGTTAATTATAAGTATTATTTTATAGATGAATCTTAATTTTTCATTTTTACTCGATTGTTCAAAAATATTGTGACTCAAAAATGTGTTAAAAATAAGTTTAAATCTACACGATCCAAGGTCAATTTAGTGATTATAATTTTATCGCTGGTCTCTGAAATAAACGGAGAAAAAATTATATATATTATTTGTAAGATATCTTTTGTGAAAAGTTTCATAACTTTTCCATTGGTGCAATAAGCATCTATTATAAATCGAATATGAGATTTTTTAAACCTCGATTCATATAATTAAAAAAAAAAATGTATTAAACCATACAAATTATACGAAAGTCAAGAGAGTTTTCATTCCTTGTAAATATTTTATAAGAATTCAGTTTGTTTTATTATGATAATAACGAATGAAGTTTGATTGAGTTCTTTCAATATAAATTATATTTGAATTCATATATTTTAGTTTGTTTGATATCTGCAGTACTCCATTCAAATTAATATGTCATTGTATAATATGTAAATATATTATACATGTATATAATATTTTTATCGTTATATCTATTTCTTAAACATAAAAATGCCACTTTTATATTAGATTCTTCTTTCAGAACAATCGTAGACTTGAGAAAACATGTAGGAGGTAAAATAAATATATTTTGTTGTGTGGGTCTACCAAAGTACTTCCTGGCTTATTTATTTTTTCTTTAAACAATTTAACTGTTGAGATAGTAAAAATCTTTGGAATTTACTTACATAGTTGAAATGCTTATTATCTTTTTAAAAAATCAAGCGTCGGGTAATTAGTACTCAAAAGATCTATTGACTTAAATGTATATAATACTTTAGTAAGTTCATAGTTTATTTCGATGCGTTTAGAAAAATATCATGTTTGAGTAGCAATGATTGATATTGAAAGTACACGAATAAAATCAAAAAATTCATCAATATTCGATGCAAATTAACTATGTTAATATTAAGAGTTTTAAAGTCGAATATAATATTATATGATTTGTATCTTTAAAAATGTAATAGTTATTGTGATATCTTCCACGATAAGCTAAGTAAATTATCGTCATTATCAAATTTCAATGTTTACGAAGTTTGATAAAAAATACCGGGACTAAAATTATATCTAAGCTAAAAATAATCGAATCGGTAATTTAAACATATCAAATAAAAGTAGAGATATCATTAAATTATGTTATTCAAGCCGCGAGTTAATATTAAAAATTTAAATAAATAAAAAAAAATCCTGGTATTTTTTGATCACATCTCGTATGGTACATATGTTTATATGGTTATTTACGACGGTTTGTGTAGTTAAAAAGATTTAGTTATTAACCATGGGTTGGTTGTCACATAATTATTTTTCCCTGTTATGAGTGTATTCTTTTATTAATCACAAATGTATGCTTGGAGATTATTGTATTTTTAAGACGTGTTTTACTATTGGTCATTACTATAATAATATATAGATCTACGCAGTATTATATTTTAGAAGAAGTTTTAATAAAAAATGCATGTAACTCGAGACGATTTTCTTGTATTAAATGGAACTCTAGTACAACAATATTTTCATTAATCTTAACCCTACGACGAGCATGATGTTGTTTTTGGTCAACGAGACAGGTTCATTGAAAAATTGGATCTCAAGACCCCAATTAGTCTAATCCGGATTTGAGTAATTTCATCGCAGAAAATTAATATTGTTCTGAAAAGTTTTTTATTCGGTAAATTTATGTAGAAAAAGAACCATTCTCACCTTTCGTAGTATTTCCGAAACTAAATTTAACACAACAAAATAAACTACCTATAAATGACTAAGATATTTTTTATGACCTAATTGTATGCGTACTATTGTTTTACAGTATGTTCTGTGAGTACAGCGAATATAACTCTTCATCTCAATAAAAATATCGTATCCCACAATAGCTGAAAAATGTGAAAAAACTAAGGTTTTTATCAAAATGAGTTTTTATTGGCTTTATAGCGATTTATTATATACAGTATACATATTTCTAATTAGTTCGTAATAAGTCCGTAATAATTTTATTATCAAGTAGGCGGAGGAGAACATAATACTTCATACAAACCAAGATAGATATTGATACATTTTAAATTGATCAAAGATATAACTTTAAAGAGGTAATTTTTTTGAACAAAATAAATAATATATACTATATACTATAGTTTGTAATTAGACATAATTGATATTCAGATATTATACTTTCAATCGCTTATAACATTGTTGAGAAACTTATAATAACTTGGGCCGAAATTAAGGTTGATGACTTAGTTTTTGTTAGCGGAATGAGTGTCTCAACAATATAAGTACTAATATTTTTTTAAAGAATTTGTCGATTTTTTATTTTTTACAAGGCAGTTTATAATAATTTCTCATAAATTGATAAAAAATATTTTTTTAACATCAAATTATTTCAAAATTTTATTATATTTAGTATTATATATGGTTTTTATTATGTTTCTAAACTATACTACATTTTTAAGTGAGTTCCTTTGAGTTTTTAGGACATCAACATTTGGATTTTCATAATGCCTAACCTTAAGCCGAATTGAATGTAGCCAAACGATATACTTTTATTTCTTATCTTCATCCGTAAACATTTATTTTGTGATTTAATATAATATTTTTCTATATTTGGCTATTATTGTACCTTTTTAGAGGCTCAAACATTCCAAAGCTTTGGTGAAAAATATCATCACTGAACCCTCGAGATGTAATTCCTTGGGTATAGTAGTTCCTTTTATACTTGATTGACGGCCACTGAAAATCTGGTTGTAATCCGTCAAAAACGTATTCATGAAAACCTCTAGCATCCATTTCTGTAACATATACATGTATATATATTTATAAAAACTAAGTGTAATTTATGAAACGTTTATGATATGACCATGGTGAATAAGTAATATATTAAGTACCAATTATTTATTTAATAAAATATGAATACATTAATATCTTGAGGATTATAAAATCCAACAAATAATTGAATAAAAATTTAAAAATTTGGTTTAATAATTGAGTATTAGATCGGTAAATGTTAAGTTGAACCTATTATCAGTAAATACTGTAAGCTTTGAACAATTCGAAATAGATTTTCTTTTCAAGAATGCCATTCATATACTCGTACTGTTGATTAAAGACAGTGGCGCCGAACCCTATGCTTAGGTCGGGCCGTGGCCTGACTATATCTTTAAAATGAGGCTGGGAATCAAAGGGGCCGATCTGTGGCAGGGGTGGCTCTAGAGCCTTGGTTAGGAGCAGGCAAAGTTATAATTTTAGAAAATTTTATAACAAAAAGAAAACAATATTTTTTACAACACAAATTCAAGTCGTCTATTTATAAAATTATCAAAAATATCAATAATATGATCTATTTGATTTAGAATATCTACTTTATGATATACATTAGACATAATGCTGATAGTCTATCTTCAGTCATCATTGAACGAAGCCAGGTTTTTAGTCTCCGAAGTGTGGAAAAACTCCTCTCAACCGTCATAACTCTATGACTCTATCTACATACTTATGCGTGTCGTATGATAGTACATATTATAATATGCATTTTTTGTTAATTACGGTAAGGGCTTGGTAGGGGGCCGTGGCCCATAGCCTCCTCCCTGAAGTCGCCCCTGATCTATGGTTTGCACTCTGCAATATTCTGACCTCGTGAGGAATGCCGAACGGACTCTGTTGGATCAGTACGTGTATGAACGGAACGTAAACATTCAAATGTGAATTACTTAAATTAAAACACATAATAAAATATTTTGCAGAATGGTGTCTGACTAGTATGATTTATGCTTAATACTCGTAATTTGAGAGCACAAATTATTTTTCTGTGCTAAGTAAAAATTTAGGCTTGCGGCCGCTAGGGTTCTTGAGGCCGTTGTATTTTTATTTGGCCTGAGTAAAATTTTAGAAGTTCGACGCCATTGATTAGAGTTATTCTTATAATGCAGTTCAAAACAAAAAAGTTGAAAACTAGGATTTATAAAGTTGAATCCTTTTTTATAGTGCTAATTTATACGTACGAGTATACATTATGTTATTCTTAGACGAGTCAAAAAGTATTCGGTTGAAAATATTTATTTCAAATTGTTAAATCTTTTAGAGACAGAGTTAAATGGCTTGCTTTACCGTTAACTTAATTTAAAGAAATAATTAAATTGTTACAACAATAATCAGTTTATTTTGGATCATTTTGTATTTTTATTCGTTTTATCTAAAAAAGTCTGGCAGTTCGTTTTCGATTGAATGCTATTTATTGAAGTGCATTTGAATACACAACATTTTTTGTTTTTCCATCTCATGCGTACACAAATAAATCAAAAGGGTTTCCAACACGTGAGCAGGCCACAAATAGCTGTCCATATAAAATGAATGGACTTTCCAAATTTAGTCCACACACTTGTAGCGATTGCCCTTATGATTTTTGGTGGTTATAGCCTAGGCGAGTAATACCGAAAACTGCAAACGTTTGAATTCGAATGGTGTACCTATTGAAGTCATTGGGATTCGTGGCAACAGTATATTTTTGCCTATACATTGGCAAATCTAAAAAAAGCTAACCTAACAATTTTAGCTTCGATAAAGTTGTTCATCAACATTTTTATCGAAAGGGTGGAAAAGCAGAGTCGTGGTGGATTGACGTTTTGTAGAAGAATGATAGGAATGTCAATTTTCAATGTTAAAACGTGCAGTGGTAGACCTGGAAAACCATGTGAATTTAAGACTTAAATTGAATAATTTACCACTTTATCTTGATTAATTACAATATCGATGTACTTGTATGTTATTGTGTTACCTGGAATTCCATTTTGAATGCTAAAATTTTTGATATTAACATCGTTGTTTTTGGCTGCTAATATAATTAGTGCTCTGAGCCACCGATGATTTCTGTAATTATGTGGTATATTTAAGAAAACATTGGCAATTAATACATTATTTATGTGTCAATTTGTCGATGGTTGCTGTGATTTTATAGATATTGCCATTTTTCCATTCTTAACAATTGTTTTGCAAAACGATCAACGGGTGCATAATTTTGTAATTGTCATAATGTAATAATGGTCTTCAAGTTCAATTATAGTACGTGTTGCCACAAAACTGATGATTTGCGACATGTATTTATCTTATCAGCGAGTGAACATGGTATAACTGGTGAAGTTTGTCCAAAATTACCAGATAATAAGTGCATTACCGAAGAACTCTTGATTTATTCTTAAATCTTTTAGTGTTCCTACGATCAAGTGCTTTTAATGACTTTTTGTTCGCCTTAGTACATTTGTCCTATATAATGAATATACATGTTTGAAGTATTTTACACATTCCAAAATATTTGTTGACATTGACTGGTATATCTTATTAAGATGGCAAATATTTCTGTAAAGTGTCCGGGGTAGGAATGTTTTGAGAACGAAAAATGGGGGTGAACATAAGAGGGAGAGTGAAGAAATTCGAGAATGAAGGCTGTGTGTGACGGGGAATTGTTTCCGCTGAATATGGTGTTCTTTAAAAGTAAAATATGTATGCCATAAGCATACACCGTACTCCAAAATAGAATGAAATTGGAAGAAATTAGTTTAATGTCAATATGTCTATAGTGTATTAGTTTTTCCCTTATTATCTATACAACTCTCGTAAGATAATTTTTTTTAAGATGGTACTAGATAAATTAAATTAATTCCAACGTATAGATTAATATATATTTATTCAACATTACGTTGTATGCATTTATTTATCTTATTTTTAAATTAGGAATATATTTATTTATCAGTAGTATACGCAAAAATATCTCATTTGTCTCATTGAGGATGTTACAATAAAATTGAATTACAAAAAATCGAATACCATTGTGTTATAGGGAAATTTGTTTTTATAACTGAGCATCAACATTTTTGAAAGAGAGGTTTCATGACTCTCTTAAACGCCACTGATATATTTATAATATGTATATATATATATACTATTTATATGTTTATTATTTTTACTGTTATTATTTTGAACGTACAATTTATTTGATTATATTATATAGTTTTAAATATATTTCATAAAACGCTTGATTTTATGTCAGTCGGTTGTTAATAATTTCAAATTTGTATTACTAAAAAAACGCAATGCGTTTTTTTCAGATAATAAACTGTATTGTTTTAATATTTGGGTATAAGTATACGGGAATATTTTAAAACAATATAGTATATTATTATTATTGTTATTATTAACATAATTTATTGCATATGCATTGTAGATAAATATTTTTGGTAACCAAAAAATACCTGGGAATACGGAAGTGACGAAATGTTTGTTTCCTCCTCTGATAGCGTAGGTCTTCAATGCATTTTGGTTTAGATAACTAGCAGCATCTTCATGTTTAGTATCCTCCCAGTAACGTTGATTTTTGTTCGAATCTAAAATGGCGGTGACCGTGGTCAAAGACCAGGTCAATAGAAGCACTGCATTCCAATACATTAGAAACCGTATCTAAAATGGTAAACATCACATACATTTGTAAGTTTAATTTTAAATGTTTATTGCAAATGCTGTTTAAGAACAGTTGATTGGATAGGAAGTCAAAATATCAGTTTGGGCATTCAACAGGCGCAGAAATGATACTCGAGTTACAAAATAACATAAATTGGTAAAACAATGTAAAATAACCTATATCCGTGGTGGTGTCTAAAGTAATGTACTTAACAATATTTAAAATCGTATTGCAAACAATATTAATAGACCAGTGGTTGGCAATCGACGGCCCGCGGGCCGCATCCGGTATTTTTTATACGGCCTATATTAAATTCCGAAACTAGGAAATCATATCAATTTTTCGAATTGTCTGGCCGGTGAACCCTTTTTAATTTGTGAATGTGGTCCAAGGACCCAAAAAGGTGCCGATCACTACCATAGACAAATCGTAACTCTAGAATAAATGCTTATAATATCCGTAATATTTTAAAGTATATCTAAGACATTAGTGACATAACCTTACAGAATTTAAGCTAATAAAATAGGAAAAACATAGCTTTTAGATAATATACGGATAACCTAACAGTTATAATTATTTATGATCTGATTTTGATATGGTGTCTGTGTATTAATATATACTGGTGATGCTTAAATATATCATGCTGTAGAGCTAGGTTTAGAGAAGTATGCCGACTGTGTGTTAACATTAATTAGCTATAAAAAACCTTGAAAGTTGAATTTTTATTTACTAAAACATCACCACAATGTAATGATGAAAAATTAAGCATGCACGTTGTTCGCTTATAGTACACACGGATAATTAGCGGTTCGCGTATTTTTTTTATCTGGCCCGTACTACACTTTCAAGTCACTATTAAATAACATTTTAGCGTTTATCGATATATTAATTTATTACGTTGATCGTATAAAAAATATTATATTCTTATCTAGTATTCAACAGCAGCTAAGTTATTAAATGTCTAAACATAATATATATGCATATTAGCATAGCTAATGTTGCATATTCAGCATTTTATATTGCATACATATTATGTACGTTATGTTTATATCAATAATAATAATAATAATAAGTATCATATTACTATCAGTGGGGACTGTCTATTGGTTATTAGTGAGTAGACAATTTTAATGTACTTCATTACGATTTACACGTTTGACAATAAAGGTCTATAAAATCATTTATGTTATTATTCATATCAGTAATATATAACAGCTAACAGAGCTATAGTATTAGTAATGATTATATTTATTATAAATAGTATAAAGTAATATATATAATATTTATAATCAATCGTTTTAAATACTTATTTTATTGTATTAGTTTATTTGTGTAAATTGTATAAAATAAATGTTAATTTTCAGTTTTAATAACTTTTTTTTTGTTTCTTTACTCTTACTCTAACTCTGATTTTAAAGTTCTTTAATTTGGTAATCTAGTCATTTTAAGATGTCCATTCCATGACTTCTAGTTCACTTTACAATATTTGCCTACATGCCAATACTTTTGATTAAAAAATAGTGTTTTTGTTTAAATTACTAACCTTCAACAAGTTGTAATTTTATTAATTTTATGATTTTTAAATAAAATAATATTCATGTAAAATAAGTGTTTTGCATCAAACAATTAACAATACTTACTATATTTTTACTTATTGTTAATGTTTTAGGTAGACAGTCAAAGACTATTCGGATTTTCAAAACTCGAACCGTTATATTATTTCAAACAACTATATTTTATTTTTATCGAGTTATTAAACAAACAAAATTGTATAAAGAGTTTTTATGAGGTGAATTCTCAATTCGTTTACTAAAAAAGTGTTACAGAATATTTAATGGATTCTTTGTTCTTGATTAATTAAAAGTGTTTTTGTTCGGGAAAAATTGAAATGTGACGTAACACTTTGTAGTTAATATTTTATTCTTCTACGCTATAACTACAGTCGCTTGTTTCTAAACATTTTAAAACTAATTCACAGAAAAGGAAAAATTGTAGTCAAATATTATTCGCGAGTGCGCAAAGATTTATACTATTACCGTAACCAAATGTGGATATACGTGTCGTATATAATGTGCACGTATGTACAAACATGTATTTCGGGATTTTAGGATTTAAAACGGTCTCATTGAAACCGTGCTGAGCAGAATTTGTAATTTTTGACAGCTCGGGTATATTCCGTTTTGCTGGTGCGCGTCATTACAATCATATACTTTAAATTCATCGGACGACGACAGTGACGGCAGATGATATACTTGAGTGCGTGGGGAAAAAATAATATAATCTTTTGAACACCGTATATTTTAGGGTTCAACCGTCACGTGATGGTATCAAAGGATATATTTTTCACGTTCCGTTTAATTATGGCCGGACAACGTACCAGAAGATAATTGCAGTGTAATCTCTTCAATGTTAACAATTCCGCATAGTATAATCGTTAGTCAAAACGTACGATACGAATAATCGTTGGTAATTTATAGTAAGACCTATTTCAATATAATTAAGGTTCGGAAGTTGGTATTCGAAACAACCAACAATAATGATTATGATTTTTTAAAAAACGTACTGTTGACTCGAAAAAAATAAATAAATAAAATGTACATGTAATACTTCTGGGTAAGTATTTATTTATTTATTTGTTTATACGTTTATGAGTATTAACCATTTTAATTTTTTAATTTCAATTCTTTATTTTATTATTACTTAAAACTTAAAATATATTTAAACTGATATAGTATCTAAATAATTATATTCAATTATTATTTAAGACATAGTAAAAACGACGTGTGTATATTACACTTTTATAATTCATTTAAATACCAAATTATATGTGATTTCAACGAAAAATACTTGCACGAGTTGTTAAAAGTTTTTTCCTTTGTACCTACGTATATAAATTGGATGCGCAAAATAAAAAGAAAAAAGAAAAAATGAATAATACCATTTATAAAATAATCCCGGGAAGGCGAACGTCATGCGTTTTTGTATTATTCATGAAGTCATGTTTTTATATAAGTATGTTTTTTATATATAATTGTAATGTGTATAATGCACAGAACAGTTTATATATAGATACAATTTTCGTTAGCTTTGTTTATACACATTTCATCTTAACTAGATCAACAGGAGGGGACGCGAAAGTATTTTGTGAGTCCTATAAAAGTTTACAATATATATATATGCTAGTTGAATTACCCGAAGAATATTTGACTGCTTTAGATTAAAGCAATTACTTAACCAAAATATCCTAGGTTGAAAAAAGTACAAATTCGTATTATATATTATAATGATATTTATTAATACTAAATAAATGTACTAAATTCCAATTGGAAATTATTAAAATCAACATATTAAACAAAATAAAATATCTTCTAGGTAATCAAAAAATACAATAAAAAAAAAGATTCATTCATACAGTCCGAAAACTGGACCCTAAAAACACGAAAAATCCATTCTTATTGCACGTTATTTATGGTACTAGAAGAACCACTTTGTTCAATTTCAAATTCACACTTTTCGTCGTTTTCAAGATGTAGCTATGAGTAAGAGCAGGTGAGTGGTATTTGAGTTTTATATATTGAATTGCCCGGTTTCGCCTTTGAAAATAAATGATTATTTTTGTTTGACTAGGTAACTAAAGGCAAATAAAATAAATGTAATCGTCGTTTTGTAAATTCCACTCTTAATCATACAATATTTATTTATCGATATAAGGAGCAACAGATAAACGCATTTTTACTTAATTTTTTGAGCCATCCATGAAATATATTTGTAAAGTATTTGGTTTTTCTGGAAAACTGGGTAAAAAGGACTAATCAAACGGAAAACTTGATCTTGAAATTAAAATGTCGGCATAAAGTTTCCATGCTTAATTTTTGTTGCACTAAACGATGTCATTTGAAAAGCTGAATAATATAATATCTATGGTAATAATATAATATAATAATGGTTCAGGTACATCGGATCTGTAATGTCTTCCAAAAAAATTTTTTTTTCTGAACAATAAAAACTTAAATTAAGATTTATTGTTTGATAATTGTCATTATTTAATTGCAGTGACACTTTTTTAAACGATTGAATACATTGATTACGATTTTCTACGAAATTTTTCAACTATCTCAAAATCGATTTCTCTTCTGTTTATTCTATGAAGTTATACTGGTACCGACTTATGATGACTTACTTCTTCACAGCTACTCATAAAATAAATTTGAAAAAAATTCGGGTCATTAATAGGTAGCTACATTAATGTACCTTCAAAATTACGTTCATCGGATGTGAGATCACAAATTTTGATTGCTCCAAATGATGAAATTTGAAAACAAAAAATAAATTTGCGTGTTTTGCACAAAAATTATTTCGAATTATCTGATTGACCAATAAGGAGTGATTGTAAATGCTGTGACGAAGTGATAAGATATAACAGCTGCTAGCTTGTTGGAGACTCAAGTGATGAGATTCAATATGGTACAATATAGGTTACAACGGTAACTAAAGTTATCTTATGTAAATAATCTGTTTATTTTTATTTTCGTAGCATGAAAAATCAAAATTAATTTTATCGTACAAAATAGAATAATAAAAAGAAAAAAAGTAAAAAATTAAAGGCGTTACAATTTAATTTGATTTATTAATATTTTCCGCTCTAAATCTTTGTATTTGAAATATAATTACATAATTGTATTATTATAAATTATATCAAATAAAGATATATAATAAATAACAAATTATGAACGTATAAAATGTTATTTCAGTCTGGTGTTAACCTGCAACACGGTCACATGTCTATGCGATTGAAATTTTCCCGTTCCGTTATCGCGATTTTAGTGATGTAATCAGTTCATGGTATTATATTTTATAGAACGAATATTTACTTTTAAAATGGATATGACATTCTCTCTGTTTACTATCAAACCCAAACCATCATTACCTAATTCTCCTATCTATACGAGAAAAAACTAAACCACTAGTTTCATCTAATGGTTTCGTTGTCTTGGGAAGT